AACATGTCAGTGGTTTATATGGGTTTAGTACATTCAAGGAACATGTCTGGTTTATTTGGATTTAGTACTTTCAAGAAAGGTGTCAGTGGTTTATATGGGTTTAGTACATTCAAGGAACGTGTCAGTGGTTTATATGGGTTTAGTACATTCAAGGAACATGTCAGTGGTTTATATGGGTTTAGTACATTCAAGGAACATGTCTGGTTTATTTGGGTTTAGTACATTCAAGGAACGTGTCAGTGGTTTATATGGGTTTAGTACATTCAAGGAACGTGTCAGTGGTTTATATGGGTTTAGTACATTCAAGGAACATGTCTGGTTTATTTGGATTTAGTACTTTCAAGAAAGGTGTCAGTGGTTTATATGGGTTTAGTACATTCAAGGAACATGTCAGTGGTTCTTTTGGGTTTAGTACATTCAAGGAACGTGTCAGTGGTTTATTAGGGTTTAGTACATTCAAGGAACATGTCAGTGGTTTATATGGGTTTAGTACATTCAATGTATTTGATTAATACTGCTCTTAATTAATATTTCACTTCATCTACTTTCTTTTATTTTACAATGTGTGCTGAGTCCATATGAAGTAAAAATAGGGAATACTCAAATTTAATTCAAAATTTACGAAGCCTTGAGATGTAAGTCTGCTATTTGTAATTCATAGTATTTGTATTAAAACAAAGAGTCAGAATACGTTTGATTGTACATCTTGGATTTGTGGTATGATTTGTTCCAGAGCACCTGTGTAACAAATTTAATTTAAATATATCAGAAAAATGTATGAATTACGTAATTAATATGGGTTGTTTCCAACCCTAAACTAATCACTTCTTACCCAGGGTATCTTTGTACAATTTTTTAGTGAAATCTGACCAGTGGTACTGTTCTTTTATTTAAATTAGGTAACTAATATGTAAGGTCACTGAGGTAAAAGTTCACAATGGACAATAATGGATTCAGGATGAGTGACTCTTGCAAAGATCACTTTTTTGCATTAACATCTGTTTTTTTGTGTAATAAATTTGCAAATAATCTACCCACATATGCTGCTTTTATTGATCTTAAAACAGCTTTTGATCATGTCAATGGACAGACCCACTTGAATACATTTCTTATGAATGGTGGTAAATGTTATCATTCAATTAACACCAAAGCATATGTTTGCTTATCAAGATATCAGTTGAAAATCTGGAATTTGGCTAATTATGCAAATTATGTTATTCAGTAAGTATGATGTTGATGAAAAATTACCAGGTCTTTCGCATGTTAGAGTAATATAAATAACAGTTATGAAAACAGAGATGGTAGCTTGGCTAATCTAAGTAAAAACATGTTTGTTTTTGTATTATTTGGCTAGCAGGTTGAATAAACACATGGTACTGATTATAGGGGCAATGTCATAATAGTAATGTTTCCAGAGTGGAACTTTTGAAACAAGATCCCATAATAATTTAGGTATGCGAATAAACATGTAGGTATTCAAATCAGCAGGGAATTCTCAGTCGTGAGTTCAGAGACTTAATACATGCAATACTGTGAATAACACTGTCTGGATGATTGAGTATCACTATATCAACATGGCTACTCAAACAAACTGGAAATGATATCTTCATATTGAATGTATATTTTAATCAATTGAAGAATTATTACAATGTACAAATGATGGAACAATTAATTTTAATGAAAATTATTTTTAACAATTTGATGATTGAACACTGGATTGTGATTTGTTACGTGTGTGAAGATATTTTTGTGAAATGCTGAAATACTTGAGTTGTAATCATGCTGACGACTCTTGAATTACAATCACATGATATACTGTAATCTATTTAATTTTTGCTACTAGGAATTTTAGTGATTTGATGATTAATTTATATTGCTCACAAAAATGCATCTTTTGAGAAAATAAAGTAGGTTACAGCACATCTTTATGTAGGTTTCACACCACAATTAGAAAAAATTACTAGTATACCAATTAGACCAAAAAACG